AGGACATGTGACCCAAACTCGCGAAAACCAGCAAAAACACGAAAACAAAACAACAATGACGACAACGACAACAACAACAACCATAAACAAAAACAACACAACAACAAGAACAACCAACAACCAACAACAACAACCACAACAGCAACAGCAACAGCAACAGCAGCAGCAGCAACAACAACAACCAACCAACCAACCACAACCACAAAAACAGCACAAACAGCAAACAACAAACAACAAACAACAACAAACAAACACCAAACAACAAACAACAACCACAACAACAACAACAAGCAACAAACAACAAACAACAAAAAACAATCAACAACAAGCCGCAACAACAACAAGCCGCAACAACAACAACAACAACAACAACAACAACAACAACAACAACCAACAACAACCAACAACAACCAACAACAACCAACAACAACCAACAACAACCAACAACAACCAACAACAAAACAACACGCAGCAACAACCAAAAACACCAATCAACAACAACGAACAACAACAACAACAACAACAGCAACAACAGCATCAACAACAACAACGACAACGACAACGACAACGACAACGACAACGACAACGACAACGACAACCAACAACAACCAACAACAAAACAACACGCAGCAACAACCAAAAACAACAATCAACAACAACGAACAACAACAACAGCAACAACAGCAAGCAACAAACAACAAATAACAAGCAACAAACAACAAACGACAAACAACAATCAACAAACAACAAACGACAAACAACAAACAACAAACAACAACAATCCCCAGCAACAACAACAACAGCAAACAACAAACAACGAACAACAAACAACAAACAACAAACAGCCAACAACAACCACAGACAACAAACAACAAACAACAAGCAACAAGCAACACACAACACACAACAAACAACAAACAACAAACGGCAAACAACAAGCAACAAGCAACAAGCAACAAGCAACAAGCAGCAAGCAACACGCAACAAACAACAAACACAAACAACAGACAGCAACAAACAACAAACAGCAAACAACAAACAACAAACAACAACAACAACACCAACACCAACACGAACACCAACTCCCACAACAACAACAAAAACAACAAAAACAACACACAACAAAAGCAACAAACAACAAACAACAAAAAAGCCGAAACCACACAAACAACACAGAACAAACAAGCGACACACAACAAACAACAAACAACAACACACAAACAGCAAACAAACAACAAACAAACAAAAAACAACAAACAACAAACAACGAACAACAACAGCCAAACAACAAACAATCGACAAACAAAAACCAACAACCAACAAACAACAAACAACAACACCACCACCAACAACAACAACAAAAACAACAAACAACAAAAACCAAACAACAAACAGCACACAAACAACAAACAAACAAATAACAAACAACACACAACAAGCAGCGCACAACAAGCAATAAACAACAACAAACATACAAACAAACAAACAAACAAGCAAACAAACATTCAATCAACAACAGCAACAACAACAAACAACAAACAACAAAAACAAACAACAAACAACAAAAAACAAACAACAAACAAACAACAAACAACAAACAACGAACAACAACCGCCAAACAACAAACAATCTACAAACAAACAACAAACAATCAACAACCAACAACAAACAAACAACAAACAACAAGTAACCAACAAACAAACAAAGAATCAACAAACAAACAACAAACAACAACAAACAACAACAATCAAACAATCAATCAAACAAACAAACAACAACAACAACAAAGTCAATAAGAAGGTTTACCACCAACAACAACAACAGCAACAATGGCAACAACAACACACAGCAAACAACAAACAACACACAACACGCAGCAAACAACAAACACCAACCGACAAACAACACACACCAAACAACAAACAACAACCAAGAAAAAACCAAACAACAAACAGCAAAAACCAAACAACAAACAGCAAAATCCAAACAACAAATAAGCAATAAGCAACAACAACAACACCACCAACAACAACGAGAACAACAACAACAAACAACAACATCAACCAACATCAACAATCACAACAACAACATCAACAACATCAATCAACAACAAAAACAACAACAGCAACATCAACAGCAACACAACAACAACCACAACCAACAACAACAACGACAACAACAACAACAACAACAACAACAACAACAACAACAGCAACAGCAACAGCAACAGCAACAGCAACAGCAACAACAACAACAACAAACACAACAACAACAACAACAACAACAACAACAACAACAACAACAACAACAAAACAACAACAACCAACAACAACCAACAACAACACCAACCACAACAACAACCAACAACAACAACAATAAAAACAATCAAACAACAAACAACAAACAACAATCAACAAACACCAAAACCAATCAACAAACAGCAAACAATCAAAGAATAACAACAACCAACAACAACAATCACAACAACAACATCAACCAACATCAACAATCACAACAACAACATCAACAACATCAACACCATCAACAACACCAACAGCAACAGCAACAACAACACAACAACCACCACCAACAACAACAACAACAACAGCAACAACAGCAACAACAGCAACAACAACAACAACAACAACACCAACAACAACAACAACAACAACAACAACAACAACAACAACAACAACAACAACAACAACAACAACAACAACCAACAACCAACAACCAAACAAACAAACAATCAAACAATTCTGAAAGAAAGAAAGAAAGAAAGAAAGAAACAACAATCAATCCAACTAATCAATCTACTAACTACTAGCTACTAGCTGACTAGCTATCTAGCTAACTAGCTATCTAGCTAGCTAGCTATCTAGCTAGCTAACAAGCAAACAAGCGCACAATCACACACACACACACACACACGCACGCCGAATCACACGAACATGCATGCACACATATGTATATATATATATATATTCATATATACACGCACACACACGCCGCAGAGGCAGGCACAGAGCCACATTCCTCAGTCCGCTGAGTGCGAACAAGAGTAGCCCTAGACTGATGAAAGAGACTGGTAGCACTTGAATTGTCCACACCCAACCCGCATGTGAAGGTGGCCTGGCAATCAAGAAACCCCTCTCTCACTGTTTTTCCCGATCAAGCAAGGTGCTGTACCGACCATGCGCTTGGTTGTGTCATACAAAGCAAATGGCCCCAACCATGTTTCAGCGTCCCTGCTTCAAGACGTAAGGCTTTTTTGGAATATTGTTGCTTTGAGATCTTGGGAGCATAAACTGGTACAGCTCTGTCAGATTCTTAAAAAATAACGACCTTACCGCAGGTGACCTCCCCAAGATAAAGTAGTACGTTTTTGTTTGTTCTTGTTTTGCTTTTTCAGGCGGGGTGGGTCCTTGCGTCAGGTTAGAGGATTGTCATGCTTTGCTCCCCACCTTACCTCCAACACCAAGCTTACCGCAAGCATGCATCAAGGGCCCCCCACGTAGAGTCTTGTTTCCGAAACCACGAGATATGCTTCGACAGATCAAATTCGTGTTGATGCGTTCGCTATTGATAGCGGTATCTCTTTCTTAGCCGGAATCGCTTGCGAGTGTGACCCTCTTTTGAGGAAGGGTGTGCGCGTCACGAGCTTCGACGTGCAGAAGATTGGATACTACTTCGCTGCCTTCACCTTCACACTTTTTTCAAGATTTCTCTGACGCCATTCTACATGAATGGCCACTGTTGCTCCTTGACCCCACGCTTGTGTGTCTGGGCAACTTCCGCGACCCAGCGTGACAAATGGGTTTCCCTTCAAACTGACCCCAACGATACCCCCAAAGTCAGACTGACAGACCAATATGTGTGAATGTTTAACTTCCCCGTTGTTGCATATGTTTTCGTTTTTTAGGTTTTTGGTTCTGTTCGATTATTGTGCAGGGCTGTTTTCTTCTACCATACCAAGGGTTGTAAGGTTACACGTCCTTCATTGAAGCTGCGCATGGCCCGACGTCACGTTGGGTTTCTAAATCAAAGGGAACCCGCACACGCACTCTGAATGCGTCTCGGGAACCCGCACCCCACACTCTGAATGCGCCTCACGTTGCAGGTGCAAAGGGGTCGAACTTGATCCACTGGAAACACCCACTTGCCCAAAGCAGACCTTTTGGTCTTTTGGTTTCCCATTTGGTTCGTTTTTCGTAAAGGTTCCAAAAGTTGGTCTTTTATTTCTAGGCCCTTGGGACAAGTGAGAAGAGCTTGAAAGCTCTTCAGTCGCCCCACCAAAGGTAGGGTGCAAGGTGCGCGGGCAACACGCAACAGTCGCGCAACGCTCACTCGGGGCTTGCGAACTCCCAAAATGACGTGGCGCTTTCATGCCTCTTCAGCAACGCTCCTCTGAACCAACCATGGAATGCGCCAATGTGCTGAATGTATGTTTGAAATATCCTCCAGCCATTGAACAGTTGAAAGAGTTTCACGTTGATTTGAGTGAAGCTTGCGCGACGCTTTGGATCATGGTTCAAGGCAGGCTTGCACACGGGTTATCTCACATCGAGTACCCGTGTGAGCGCAACGCCGTGTTTCCTCGTCAGGTTGTGGGAGCCGTAAACAGAACAAGAGGTGAGCGAGGAAGTCTTGCAATGACTTAGCACCTCTTGGTTCCTCATTGCTGAAGCGTGCTCCTGAGACTGAGTTTAATGTTGGTTATTGTTAACTTCATTTTGTATTGCTGCAGCTTTCTGCTCAAACTCATGTTGGTTTGTGTTCACAGTATTGGTGTATCATTGCTGCAGCTTTCTGACTTAGTTTAGTTTGTTTTCAAGTTCCATTTGCAGTAGTACTCCTTCAACATTGCTGAAGCTTTCTGCTGCGCTTAGATCTTGTTCCACTTGCTTTGGTATTTCTGTAGTATTGCCGCATTTTCTGCTGAGACTACAAAGTATTTCACTCCACTTCACTTTTGTATTCCTTGTTCCTTTGGGATTCCCGATCAGCCCGTAGGTCCCTGGTATGGACCCGGATTCCAAAGGCAGTTCATGAAGAGTACATATGATGGCCAAATCTGGTAATGCAAGTGGGAGGGCGTTCCCTGGCCGTGCCAAAGGCATAGGGTTACCAGACGTGACAGGATTGGAAGCAGCGACCAGATCGAGAAACATACAAACCCAACTCTTTTCAAAAGGTCGTCACAACACTCCATTTGAATTAGTTTCACTTTTCTTTGCAGATACTTCAGGTGCCGTGAAGCTGCGTGGAGTCTGGCCACGTTGCGCGGCACAGCTTGCAGTATCGCGATTAGTCAAACAACGCATTTGACAGGGACCCCCCACGTAGACGATGTACCCTTTTTGCCATGTTCGTAGAAAGCCAATTCTTCCTGGCTCACCTTGTTTCTGGGCCATTCTGCTTGTGCACGCATGTGCTGACATCGAAATCAGGATCTTGCGCCAAATTTCGGCTTCCCAAGTATCCCCCGATGTTCAACTCCTCCCAACATCCGGAAATACCAGGTGGATGTGTGCACCTCTTCCGCTGCGGGGCTTTCAGAGCGGCTTGCATAAGGTTTTCCGGCAAGCCACAACTTGACGCTCGACGCGCGCCGTTGCCGTCAGATCAGCCGGTGTCAAGCCATGGGTCCTAGACTTGGGTCTTTCAGGCGAAGAGTGCAAGGAAACTCTCAAATCCAATGGCTCCGCGTCAGCGTTGGCTCTGAATCAGCGGCCTGTGTATTTGCGTTGCGGTGACGGCCTGTGTGTTTTGCTTCGGGGCTGTAACTGAAAATTGGGTTTATTGGTTATGGTTGCAACGGGGTTTCTGCTAAGGAACCCCTGCTGAAGAGCAATCCCACGTTCCAGCCTGAAGCGAGTCAGGATGCAGGTCGCAGGTTTGCTGCGGATGCGGGTTCTCCTCCCGCATCCCGAAAGAGTCTGGGCACACGCGGCGCCGCCAAACCCAAACCCAACATGAATTTCTCTCATGTGTGAGGATTTGGTGTGACATTTCAGATAGATTCGGAGTGCTGGGAGGGTCTTTGAAGAGGAGGGTTTGTTCGACACGCACTGATGTAGCACCTCGATCAGTCTATGTTGACAACTTGTGTCAACACCCCCTAGAGGAAACCTAAGATTCGTTGTGTGCAGAGCTATTGCTTCAGTTGATTTTCCGAGTTGTGCAAATCTGGGCAAATAGCAACCGTGCTCTATGACTGTTCCGAACGGGACAATGTCTTATAGTTTGTGGGGGAACTCGATTGAAACTTTTTGCAGGGCAACTGTGGCCAAGATTGATGGCAAATCATCCATCTATGTCGAAGTTTCAACTGTTGAGATTGAACTAGATCAGGGCAAACAAGATTCCAGCAGCAACTCAGCAATACGGACAGCAAGAATTACAGCGCGTGGCCATGTGCAAAGTGTGCGAAGACCAAAGAGCACACTGATGGGGGGTCCTATCCTGTGTGACATGTGTGTTTGCTATTTGTCCAACGTTGTTCGTTTTGGTGTGAGAATGTGTTTGAAGCTTTGGCCAGACATGGTTATTGCTAATTTTAAGGATTTGATCTGCAGGTTGACATTGCAGGTTGTTCCTTTCAAAAGGACGTTGCGTGACTCGGGCTACTTCAACTAGTGGCTACAAGATTTCGACTCTGCTGGCCGTATGTGTACAACATCTTTCTTCCACCCATTTGTGGTATGTGGGAACCAACGACCATGTCAAGTTGCTGCTTTTCTGGCGACAGTACAGTTTCTACCAGCTCTTTGTCATTTACAATGACAATGTCCAAGATAAGGAGCATTGATCATGCCATTTCGAGTTTAGTTCATCTCTGGCTTTGGTGGTTGTTCAGGCCATTGTGATTTCAATGGCCGTCAGAGTAGCTTGAAATTGAAGCCTTGAAGCGGAACGCTTTGCTCTGACGGCAAGTACCACTGCCGCGCGTGTCCGCTTGCTTGCGCTTTTGTCCTGCTGTCACGAGACAGCAGGTCAGCTTTTGGAAAGTTTGGCACGGAAGCAGGGTGAGAGGTAACATGGCCTTGCGAGCCGAGTAGCAAAAGCATAAGCTGCAACTTGTGATCAGGTGGATGTGTGCACCTCTTCCGCTGCGGGGCTTTCAGAGCGGCTTGCGTAAGGTTTTCCGGCAAGCCACAACTTGACGCTCGACGCGCGCCGTTGCCGTCAGATCAGCCGGTGTCAAGCCATGGGTCCTAGACTTGGGTCTTTCAGGCGAAGAGTGCAAGGAAACTCTCAAATCCAATGGCTCCCCGTCAGCATTGGCTCTGAATCAGCGGCCTGTGTATTTGCGTTGCGGTGACGGCCTGTGTGTTTTGCATCGGGGCTGTAACTGAAAATTGGGTTTATTGGTTATGGTTGCAACGGGGTTGCTGCTAAGGAACCCCTGCTGAAGAGCAATCCCACGTTCCAGCCTGAAGCGAGTCAGGATGCAGGTCGCAGGTTTGCTGCGGATGCGGGTTCTCCTCCCGCATCCCGAAAGAGTCTGGGCACATGCGGCGCCGCCAAACCCAAACCCAACATGAATTTCTCTCATGTGTGAGGATTTGGTGTGACATTTCAGATAGATTCAAAGTGCTGGGAGGGTCTTTGAAGAGGAGGGTTTGTTCGACACGCACTGATGTAGCACCTCGATCAGTCTATGTTGACAACTTGTGTCAACACCCCCTAGAGGAAACCTAAGATTCGTTGTCTGCAGAGCTATTGCTTCAGTTGATTTTCCGGAGTTGTGCAAATCTGGGCAAATAGCGACCGTGCTCTATGACTGTTCCGAACGGGACAATGTCTTGTAGTTTGTGGGGGAACTCGATTGAAACTTCTTGCAGGGCAACTGTGGCCAAGATTGATGGCAAATCATCCATCTATGTCGAAGTTTCAACTGTTGAGATTGAACTAGATCAGGGCAAACAAGATTCCAGCAGCAACTCAGCAATACAGACAGCAAGAATTACAGCGCGTGGCCATGTGCAAAGTGTGCGAAGACCAAAGAGCACACTGATGGGGGGTCCTATCCTGTGTGACATGTGTGTTTGCTATTTGTCCAACGTTGTTCGTTTTGGTGTGAGAATGTGTTTGAAACTTTGGCCAGACATGGTTATTGCTAATTTTATTGCTAATTTTAAGGATTTGATTTGCAGGTTGACATTGCAGGTTGTTCCTTTCAAAAGGACGTTGCGTGACTCGGGCTACTTCAACTAGTGGCTACAAGATTTCGACTCTGCTGGCCGTATGTGTACAACATCTTTCTTCCACCCATTTGTGGTATGTGGGAACCGACGAGCATGTCAAGTTGCTGCTTTTCTGGCGACAGTACAGTTTCTACCAGCTCTTTGGCATTTACAATGACAATGTCCAAGATAAGGAGCATTGATCATGCCATTTCGAGTTTAGTTCATCTCTGGCTTTGGTGGTTTTTCAGGCCATTGTGATTTCAATGGCCGTCAGAGTAGCTTGAAATTGAAGCCTTGAAGCGGAACGCTTTGCTCTGACGGCAAGTACCACTGCCGCGCGTGTCCGCTTGCTTGCGCTTTTGTCCTGCTGTCACGAGACAGCAGGTCAGCTTTTGGAAAGTTTGTCACGGAAGCAGGGTGAGAGGTAACATGGCCTTGCGAGCCGAGTAGCAAAAGCATAAGCTGCAACTTGTGATCAGGTGGATGTGTGCACCTCTTCCGCTGCGGGGCTTTCAGAGCGGCTTGCGTAAGGTTTTCCGGCAAGCCACAACTTGACGCTCAACGCGCGCCGTTGCCGTCAGATCAGCCGGTGTCAAGCCATGGGTCCTAGACTTGGGTCTTTCAGGCGAAGAGTGCAAGGAAACTCTCAAATCCAATGGCTCCCCGTCAGCGTTGGCTCTGAATCAGCGGCCTGTGTATTTGCGTTGCGGTGACGGCCTGTGTGTTTTGCATCGGGGCTGTAACTGAAAATTGGGTTTATTGGTTATGGTTGCAACGGGGTTGCTGCTAAGGAACCCCTGCTGAAGAGCAATCCCACGTTCCAGCCTGAAGCGAGTCAGGATGCAGGTCGCAGGTTTGCTGCGGATGCGGGTTCTCCTCCCGCATCCCGAAAGAGTCTGGGCACACTCGGCGCCGCCAAACCCAAACCCAACATGATTTTCTCTCATGTGTGAGCATTTGGTGTGACATTTCAGATAGATTCGGAGTGCTGGGGGGGTCTTTGAAGAGGAGGGTTTGTTCGACACGCACTGATGTAGCACCTCGATCAGTCTATGTTGACAACTTGTGTCAACACCCCCTAGAGGAAACCTAAGATTCGTTGTCTGCAGAGCTATTGCTTCAGTTGATTTTCCGGAGTTGTGCAAATCTGGGCAAATAGCGACCGTGCTCTATGACTGTTCCGAACGGGACAATGTCT